CAGAGTTGCAGAGATTTTTTTTTTTTGTTACCCGAACAGTGCGACCAAATATTTTTTTTAGTTGCACCATTGAAAAATTTGGTCCCATTTGCGACCAAATTGGTCGCACTCTAGAGGCCTGCATATTGTAAGTTTGTGCACACAAACAAGTAATTAATGTGGATGCTGATTAAACAGCATTACTATTCATCAGATTTATTATTGTGTGAATGCTGTAACCACAGTTTGTGTGCTATTTTCACCATTCAAATTTTACATTTTTTTTATCAATTCTGCTCTTTCCTGCACTATCTTTGTTGGTTATAACTGTTGTACTTTTTGAAATATTAATTTTTTCATGCAATTTTTGCTCCCATTGAAATGAATGGCAGACATCCCATAAAACAGTCAAACTGGCATGGTTTTGAAGCTTAACTATTTCCACATACTTTCACCTTCAACCATCATTCCAACTTTCAAATGTACTTCATTCCAACTCAGCTCTTTCCGTTGTCCTACAATGAATTTTTAACTTTTGCATGAATTATGAGGATTTGTATGGGTTGATATCATTGCTATAGACTGACTGCAAGAGTGTGCGCACTCTAAGCTCTGAATCTGTTCTTCATATCCAAACAAACTCCTGTTGCTCGCTCAATTTTCGCTGAGCCCACACAAATTATACTGTACATGAAAACATATGTATTTTTGTTGGCTTTCAGACATTGTCATTATTGTGAGAGCTACTGTTTTTTTTTCGCAATTTGCCTTGAAAGGCAAGTTCAAATCATCATATCACCTAACCTGTGCAATGAAGAGGTATGAGCCTCGTGCCAGTTAATCTTCAGACACTGCTGACGCTCACGGTGGAAGCAGTTTTTACCATTTGCTTACCATTGAACCATGCATTATGTTTGTTTGAGGGGAGCAAATCTCTCCATCTCTCAGATGTCAAACTCTGAAAATGAAGCAATTTTTTCTCTTGTCATATCTCCGCGATAGAGTTTCAGAGAGCCCTGAAAACCTCCACGAGAGGTCTGTGTCCTATGTTAATGTTTCTAGTTTTGCTTTGCTTGTCTCGTCTTGCCTGGTTACTCCTAGCTGTGCTCTTCTCCTGTGTCTCATTCCCCTCATTATTCCTCAGTGTATTTATGCCCCGTGTTTCTCTTTTTCAGTGTCACAATCTCTCTCATTCGTCTATGTTCTGCCTGCCAACCTTTTCTAGTTTATTTTTCTGTTCCAGTTTAGTTCTTTCTCGTGTCCAGCAATAAAGCTGCCCTTTTGAGTTATGTTTCATCTCCTTGTCTGAGTATGCATTTGGGTCCTTTCCTTCCTCCTGCACAAAAGCCATGACAACACCCTATTTTGAATCAACCTTTTGGTGATACGTTTT